AGAACGAGACAAAACACGGCAGTGAATGAAAGGGACAAAAGCGCAGCTCATTTTCAATACAACACAGACATGTTTCTATCTCTACACCTGGGAAAAGAAGACAGCAGCTGAAATAAGAGGTAAGAAGCAACACAAATCATAGATAAAGGCATAAAGCATTCAGATTATATGTGCTGTGAATGAAGAACATTGAAGAAGGTTGTCGAATATTGACTCTACAGAACAAACAATGACTCCTAAATTCATATTTCATAACTGACAGGTGTAGTTGGGAATTGGTTTGAAAACATGGTGACTCTGAAACACTTGAGTGTTAATGATAATGACGAAGACAGCGTTCCTCTATTACCGGAAGCCAGCAGCTTGGAGAGCCCAACCACCCAACACAACAGGGCAGAGTCCAGAGAATTCTTCCTTAGCCGGTGGGTTTGTCCGAGATAAGCACTGTGACACATGAAACATGCTTGCCATTCACATGCTGCACTGGAGATTTCATGACCTGTACAGACACATTCCTTTAAAACCGATAAACACTGTAAGAGTGTAAGCTTCATGAGACTGCTGTTTTATGATTTCAGGAGGAACAACTTCATTTTAAGCATTTCTCTGTTGTTGAGCTGTTATTCGGCCATTCTGGTTCCTGCGTATCTACCAACCCCAGAGCCCACCTGGACTAATGACACTTCTGCTGAAACTCTGGTACTGTCATTCACTGCTTGATCACATGAAACTGAAGGATTGAGTCGAACGTGCGACCTTGCTTATTATGATCAAGGCGACTTGATATTCCACTTTGACTTTATTGCAGAATTGAGATGATTTGTAAACTGAGCTGTATACAGTATGTGTGCGTCCCATACATTAATTTAGTGAGATTAATTATATAAAACTTCACCAACACTGATTCAATTTAACTGTGTCCAAGTTAACTTTCTCAAACGTTTTAGGCCTCAAAACATCTTTAAAACACAAATATCTGGGTAACAAATACTTAAGGCAGGGCAGGAAAATCAAGTTTGAACTAAAAGTGATCTTTAGTAGTAAACAAGTAAAGTCAATAAAGTTTATTTACCTAGCCTATGTGCAGTTAAGATGATTTTTTTCCCCAGATAATTTATGTGGAGTTTACATATATTATCACCCCTAAAAAATAAATAAATGAATGAATATATTTATATACTCCAAGACTGTATTTATTTCATTAAAAATGAAGCAAAAACAGTAATACTGTGAAATTATTAAATATATTGAAATAAGTCTGTTATTTTAAAGGGATTCTATTATGCTGTTTTCAAAAGTCTTGGTTTTGTTTTGGGGGTGTACTAGAACAGGCTCTCATACTAGGTTTATTGAAAAACATTATTTTTCCACATATTTTACATTATTACAACACCTCTCTCACCAGTCTGGCATGAACGGCTCGAATAGTGCCTGTATCAAATGAAGGCCCGCCTTCTGAAATACGAGATGTGCTGTGATTGGTTAGCTGGGCCAGTGTGTGTTGTGATTGGCAGCACTCGGGCGCCTGGTCTGGAAATGTCACGCCCCTTATCATAGCCGCCTGCAAGCTTCAGTGTAAATATTGCATCAAAATCAAATCAATTTGAGCACGATTTAAACCCGGATGATTGTAACCACTCTAAGTTCATCTGTCTTGGGAAAGCTAGCGTGTCTCCAACATTGTGATTCTCTAGTGCAGCTCAACCAGGTCTCGTCACATTCGTCGGTATTTGTCATATCACAAGCAGGGCCGTTTCTAGCCCACCCCCCCCACACACATACAAATTATATATATATATATATATATAATTCTTTTCAGACACCAGTTGCTTGTGACATTCAAATTGGTTGTCATAGTAACGACACTAATTTGTGGAGATTCAGTGCATTGAGTTCCACAAATCTGAATGCATTATTTGAAAATTGACTGTTAAGATAAACATTTTGCACAATTTAGTATCTGTAATATCATTGTGTTGCCACTAAAGGCCTGTATTGCCCTATGCCTAGAAACGGCCCTGATCACAAGTCCCGGAAAATATGCGTTGTAGTCCAAACGAGTGATTTCTGTTAAATAAAATATCTCCTTTTGAAGTGGACTTTGAGCTTTGTAACTTTGCAGATCTTTTTTATGCTCAAACAGCAACATTACAGACTAACTAAAGTTGAAAAAGTGAAAAGCATAATAGAACCCCTTTAATATGTCATTTTCTGTGATGGCAAAGCTGAATTTCCCATTACTCCAGGCTTCAGTGTCACATGATCCTTCAGAAATCATTCTTTTAGATGCTGATTCGCTCAAGAAATATTTCTTATCATTATCAATGTTGTGCAGCTTAATATATTTGTGTAAACCATAATACATACATTTTTGATTAATTCTATGTTGAATAGAAAGCTCAAAAGAGCAGCATTTAATTGAAATACACATTTTTATAACATTATAAAAGTCTTATGCTTGCTAAATAAAAGCTTTTTTCAATCTTAGCTTCTTAAACACTTTTAAACAGTAGTGTATATGTAAATAAATCATGAAACAATTCATATTAAATGACTTATAATAATGATACTCACTTTAAAAGACGCATGTTGTAACCCCGTCTCATTTGTACACACCTCAGGCTCTGCTGAACCAGTCAGCGGCTCTGCTGTCTCAGTCCTGCCGCAGCGGCTGGAGTGTGGAGAGGGTGAGGACGCTGTCTATACCTGCTGGGCTGCTGAAGATTCCCGTGTTCCTGGAGAACGGCACAGGAGACTGGGCACTGCCTCCTCCTCTGGGTCTGCAGGGCAGTGAGGAGATGCTGGCTCAGGCCCTGAAAGCCCTGCCTTATACTGCTGTACCCACTGGACCAGAGACCTGCAGGAGATGTGTGGTGGTTGGAAGCGGTGGTATTTTACACGGCAAAAATCTAGGACCTCATATAGACCAGTACAACATTATCATCAGGTTAGTTGATTAACAAACATATACGGGTGTCAAAAATACAGTAAGACAATAATATTGTGAAATTTTTGTGAATCTTCAGTGTCACATGATCATTCAGAAATCATTCTAATATGCAAGGAATTATGCATATTAACTCACTCAAACTAATTATATAGATATGAATATGTTACTCTTCATACCTACAGAGTGAACAATGCTCCAGTATTTGGTTATGAAAAAGATGCTGGATCTAGAACTACCATTCGGCTCATTTATCCAGAAGGGGCTCCTTCTCAGCCACAAGAATATGAGAGTACTGAAGTGGTGGCTTTGGTGGCATTCAAGAGTTTAGATTTAGCATGGCTCATCTCTGTAGTAACCAAAGAGCCTTTGGTGAGTAACGCAGAAGGTTTTTGGGAAGGATATTCTCATTCTAGAGAGTATTTTGTTGGACAAAAAACGAATGAAAAAATGTTGTGGTCTGTGTTCGTGAAACAGAGGGACTGTAAAGTTGAAATGCTTTTGTCATCTTTTGGGAGTGCACTAGTAGATAGATTACCTTAAAGTTAACACAAATGGCCAATGGTACCATTTTTTAATTTCTAAAATGTTTTGTCTGTAGAGTTGGTGGTCTAAATTGTGGTTCTGGAAGAATGTAATAGATTCGATACCTCTTCAACCAGAAAATGTCCGCATCCTAAATCCTGAAATCATGTACAGGACTGGACAGGTGCTGCAAACCTATGCAGAGCAACAGAAAAAGGTCAGAACTGAGATGACTTTTCAAATGTGCAAATTCAAACTATAGGTTACTAAATAGATGTTTCTTCTAAAACATATATACACACTACCATTCAAATGTTTGGGGTCAGATGATCCTCTTATGTGCAAGGCAGCATTTATTTGATCAATATACAGTGAAAACTGTTATTTTTTAAATATAACTGTTTTCTAGTTCAACATATTTTAAAATGTAACTTACTCCTGTGATGCATAGTTGAATTGACAGAAACTATTGCTTAACATTCTTAAAGAAACTGTAATACATTTTCCAGGATTCTTTGCTAAGCAGAAAGTTCAAAAGAACAGCATTTATTTGAAACAGATATATTTTGAAACATTATAAACTCTTTCCTGTCTTTACTTTTGATGAATATTTCCTTGCATGTAGTGCTATCAAAGGATTAATCGCGATTAATCGCATACAAAATAAGTTTTTGTTTGCATAATATGTGTTCTGTGTATATTTATACACACATACAGTATATATTTTGAAAATATTTACATTCATATAATTTATATTATAAATATATAAACAACTAATTTTTCTGAAATATATACATGCATGTGTGTATTTATATATACATAATAAATATACACAGGAAACATAAATATATTATGTAAACAAAAACTTTTACTTTGGATGCGATTAATCGCAATTAATCATTTGATAGCACTACTTGCATGCTTCCTAGACTTCTTCTAAATCTTCTGCTGAGAGCATTGTCAGTTGAAGTCAGTTTTATGTTTTGTTTGTTAGATGGTGCCGACGCTGGGTATAACGGCAGCAGTTCTGGCCCTGCAGGTGTGTGATGAGGTGAGTTTAGCTGGATTTGGATACGACTTGCAGCACCCTGGAGCTCTGCTGCATTATTACGGCTCTATCCGCATGGATGCCATGAACACACAGGTGGTTCACGATGTCAGCGCTGAGACCATTTTACTGCGGGAGCTGGTCAAATCTGGAGCGGTGCGAGACCTCACTGGCGCACTGTGATGACTGCAGAAACTTTCCATGTTTCTAAAAGTTAAGAGAGATGACAAACAGCAGAAAACAGTCCAGAGACCTGGACTTAAGCAGGCAACCTTCAATGTCACAAGACAATAGGATCAGTCTCATCATTTCTATGTATAATTTAAAAAAAAATCAAAACTGCAATTTTTGGGTAAAATACAGCATAGACAATACCCAATAACATACAGTAATATACAAAAGGTATTTAAAACAAGTGAAAATGACTACTAAAATTAAAACCAAAGCTACTATACAGCTTAATAAAGGATGACAAAAGATTTTATCCTAATAAATTATTATTTACTATTTATTTTTCTTGGAAAACTGATTGCATAGTGTGTAAACTTTTTATCAGAACATTATGTATAAATACAAGCAATATTATAGCAAAATATAAATGACATATTCCTGTAAGTAATAACAATCAGTTCTGTGAAATATCACATATATTTTTTTTAATGTAGAGGGTAAAAATATACAAATGCACTTTCATTATCAATATATTTTGTCTTTAAGTTAACCTCCAAACTAAAATTTAAATACAAAACATTTTGTTCTCTTTCTGTAACTAAATGCATGATCAAAAATTACAGCTAAAATAAGTGCTGACATACTGGAAGGAGAAAAATCGCAATGAAATCAATATTTTTTGACTGCTGCATAAATAAATTACAATTCTTTCCTTGAATCAAGTGTACGAAATTTTATTTATTTATTTTTTTACTTTGAAATATCAGTTTCAAAATCATTCTGATGGTACACTGACTTCTAATGAGGAGGCAAATGGCTTTTTTATTATTATTATTATTCCTATGCTCCTTTGTTTGTTGAACAGGTACGAAATTCTGCGAAAGGGCGGATTGCTTTATGGCACCAAAAAAACAAAATAAAACAGGTGCACATCTTTTCACTGTAATTACGACAGTGAATTCCACTCACTTAACTGCAGGGGGCACCAAAGTCGCAAAAACACACAAAACTACAAGCTTTAAAAATGCTTAAGACTTAGATTGTACATTTCAGCTTTAACTTTATTTCTTTATTCTTTTTTTTTGGCAATTTATTTACAAAATTTGTTGTCACACTAAAAACTGAGTCATTAATCATTATGAAAGACTGTGATTTACAGTTTTGTAAATCTGCTAACCAACGTTGCTAAGCCAGATACCTGATAAAATCTGGGTAATAACATCTTTAAAAGGAGTGCTGTCCTATATTATTTGGTCCTGGTTTCACAAAAATAATCTGTTACTAGCAGCCATATTTCTGCATTATAAGCACCTTAAGAACATTCACTTGCACATTACACTCAAGTTTCATTGTAAGTGCAGTGTTTGGTTTACTGACACATTATTTTCTGCAATTACCTTAACTGAAATAAGAAGTGCTTGTGCAGAAAGTTTAGAAAACTCTCCACGTAGGTTACAGATCATGAATAAAGTGAACACGGCTGCATGGACCATAATCTTTTGAGGGCCGTGTTGGTCACAGGAGCGGGATACGGGTGGGCTCCCACAGCTTACGGGCCAGCTGACTGCAGTGTTGAAGAATATATTCATTGGGGATCACACCCAGATGCACAGTAAACAGTTCATAACACTTCACCACCTCATTCTGATATTTTTTGCTGTAATACCGCAGCAACCTCCTATCACACCATCAAAATAGACGGAGTAGACATAAAAGACATGAATTAAAGAAAGCGCAGCTGGTGTCACGTAGTAGGTTTAGAAATAAGAGTTAGGGTTTTTTTTAAGTTATAAAAATTATTTGAGCATGTTTTACAAGAAAATATTATTTTACATTATAACATTTTACTCAATGTGCTACTTGCCATTGCTTTTTTGTGTAATTTACTAGTCATTACGGAGTGAAAATCATTTCTATGTGAATTCTTATCCTATGTCATACCTGTAATAATCACAGGTGAGCATTCCTACTGGAGCGGCATCATCTGGGGAGCTGGGTATGTCTATCACTTCCAGTTTGTAACCCTGTCAAAACATTTAAACCTCATCAACACTGACCATGTAATTTTCATTAAATATAGTAACTGTAAAAATGACACAAGCGGCCATTTACCGTTTCATTTTCAAACCACAGGAAGTAACAGTAGAAATAATCTCCATCCCGGAGCGTCACGGTGGCGTAACCCTTTTGCAGGTACCGCTGTGCTGTTGCAACAAGACTCCAAATCTGTGCAGATTCATGATGAGAATGGTATAGAATCAGTAACTAACGAAATTCATGGTGAATTAATTAAATGTTTTTGAAAGACGTCTCTTTCAAAAAGAGACTGAAATTATTTGATTAAAAATACAGTAAAAATGGTAATATTTCAAAATATTATTGCAATTTACAATGAACCATTTTCCATTTTAAGATATTTTAAAATGTAATTTATTCCTGCAACACAAAGCTGAATTTTCAGCATCATTACTCCAGTTTTCAGGGTCACATGATCCTTCAAAAATCGTTCTAATATGCTGATTTCTTTACTATATATATTGCATGATTGGGACAGGCTAGAAGCACAAAAACACCTTGTTCTTTATGAAGTCAGCTAGAGGCCCCTTTCCGAGCTCAGAGACAGTGCGATCCGTCACATTTAGGGAGGGTGCAATCATCTGACCATTTGAACGATCCACGTAGATAAAGTGGATGAGACCTGGAAACTCTTCCAGGTATGCGAGACCATGGTTAAAGATTCTAACAATGTCACATGACAAAAGAAGAATGATTCAAGACTGAAGTGTGAATGCAACCCATCTAAATAGATCGAAGGGAGGATAGGCAACCAAAATACTCATGGTAGAAAAAAGGATATGATACCATTGTGATATTTCTTTTGCTTTTCACCAGCAGAAAATCCTTCCAGTCCATTAACTTCTCTCTGCAACAAATGTAAGAGAAACGTGATTTAATGTTAAGGCACATTAAAATAAATATCCTTCAGTACTATTGAAGTGCATGTTCAGACATACTGGACCATGCTAAGAGCTCGTTCTTGCAGATGAGGAGCCAATCGCTGACTGCTGCCCATGCACTCAGCTGCAAAAAACTGCCTGTACACTCCACACAACTGAGTCTTCATGTTTCGACAAGAGGGCAGCAAACTGCAACACAACGAATAAAATGTTAAGTCACTTTTGGCTTCATCCAAGATCAAAGGAGTGAATTTAGCCTGCAATGAGTTTTGTAGTTTATTAATAAAGAGAACAGCACTCACTCTCTTGTGAATCCAGATCCTGATCTGCTAAATGCCTTGTTCTTAAAGTCTGTCCACGCATTTTGAAGTTCTGAAGTCTGAATATATAAATGAAGAGTCGAGTTTTCAAAAAAGATATATATACAGTATATATATATTTATTATAGCTACAGGGTTCCCCCCATTTCTGACCAATACATTTCCGAAACTTTTCTAACAGGTCTTAATTTATGGAGGATGCTGGGGGTGATTTGCTTTTATTTTATTGGTATGTCAGGTACCAATTCTTAAAATGTTCTGGTACAAAATCTTTAAATTTTAGTGTGCAAATGCCTCTAGTAGGACAAAAAAAAAAAAGGTTAAAAAGTTTTATTCTTTATTTTAATACTAAATAATACTTTTATTCATCAAGAATGCATTAAATTGACCAAAAGTGACAGTAAATACAAAAGATGTTAAAAAAGATTTCAAATACAAATAAATGATGTTCTTTGAACTTTATATTTATCAAAAAATCCTGACAAAAAATGTGTCCCAGTTTCCACAAAGATAATAAGAAGCATAACTGTTTTAAACATGAGTAAGAAATGTTTCTTGGGCATCAAATCAGCATATTGAAATGATTTTTGAAGGATCATGTGACACTGAAGACTGGAGTAATGATGCTGAACATTCAGCTTTGCCTTCATAGGAATAAATATATTACAATAGAAAATTGTTATTTAAATTGTAATAATATTTCACAATACCTCTGTATTTTTTTATTTTTATTTTACCGATCCCAAACTTTTGAACAGAAGTGTAACTAGAAAAAAGAAAATCGATTTAGCATGGGAATTTCCATGACTTTTTTTTTTTAAATTAATTTATAAAATGAAAACTATCTGGAGCATAGTAAAATAACCTTTTCATTTTAATACATGTTATGTTAAAACTAAATTTAATTTTTAAATCAAAAACCTGTTAGGATCAATTATTGATCCTAACATGCTTTTTCAAAAGTGCTAAATAAATAGAATTATTCAGAATTGAAATATGAAGAAAAACTATTAAACTTTAAATCTCTCATTCTAGCACATTGTAAAGTGGATCTGATGAAGTTCTGTGGAATTGATTCCACTGACCTGAATGTCCATGCTGGCCCAGGTTTTGATGAACTTCTCCAGTCTGCTCCGCTGCTCCTGGACAGAGGGCTGACCCCGCATGGCCGCAGCCCCTTCATGCCCCTCACATAACCTCTTCTCTAACTTAACGAAAGCTTCCAGGAAGTAGCATACAGATGCTGCCACATGACTGTTGGGAATCTGTTGATATGCATGTGTAAATAAAATGGAAAATTGAGCTAGCAACTCCATACATTTATGTAAAACCTGCATGATCATGTTAGTAAGCATGATTTGAAAATGATCCAAAGAGCATCTTGTGCTTCAATAGATGCAAAAACAGTGTCTGTACAAATGTGCTCTTCAAAAAAAAATATGACATAGAAGATACCGTGCAAATATTCTTCGCTCTAGAGGTCTAATGAAAGACTGTCACCTTGGTAAGCAGCACTAGAGTTATTCCCGGCCAGAGAGGTAGGCAATACATGGAGTGAGGCATCGTGGGAAACTCTTTGGCTTCCAGGAATACTCTGCATGGGGCTGAAGGGTCAGGAGTTGGAGCTTCAAGAGTTTGCAGACTGTCCTCGGCCATCTAAAATCATAAGACCTTAGATATGTGAGAAACTCTTCTATAAATACACATCATACACTATCGTTCCAAAGCTTGAATACGAGTACGATTTATGTTATTGATTTATTGCTTCATTTATTTGATCAAAAATACAGTCCAAAACAGGAATATTGTAAAAAAATATATATATATATATATTATTTATTTTAAATATTATTTTATTTATTTATATATTATTTATTACAATTTAAAATGTTTGGTTTGAATATTTTAAAATGTAATTTATTCCTGTGATGCAAAGCTGAATTTTCAGCATAATTGCTCCAATTCAGTGCCACAGGATCCTTCAGAAATCATTCTAATATGCTGATTTGCTGATCAAGAAACATTTCTTCTTATTATTATTATTATTAGCTGAAAAATGTTGTGCTACCTTATCATATTTGATATGGTTAATGTTTATTAAATGTTTTATATATTTAAACAAATTTACTGTATTAGGCTATATAAGTGTGTGTGTAAATATTATATAGATTAAAACAATGTTCATATACTTCTTTCATTTTAATCAATTTTATAGATTAAAGATTTTTTTTTAGATTATAAGATATTTTAGATTTTTGTGAAAGTACTATTTTATGGAAAAATAATCTTAGCACCACTCAGAATAACTAAATATTGTATTCCCCCCTTAGTGAAGAAAAACCAACAACAACTGTGACTATACAGAGATATCCAACCTCAGAAGTGTCATCTAGGTTGATTTTGCTGGGATAGAGATCCTGCACCAGGATGATCAGAGCCAGGAGATCAGAGGGGCATAGATTGCTGGCATTTCGACTGCACAAAAAGTAAGAAATCGGAGATCACTTCAAAGATCTCTGTAGCACAATATTGTCACTTCCTTCTGATGTTGTGGTCAAAACATCATGGTCTCAGTCTGCGTTTGCTGTACCTGGAGTAGAAGGTCAGCAGTTTGGTGTGCACCAGTATGAAAGCGTGTAGCACCTCCTCGCCCATTCTGTCCATGTTGCTGTTGATCTGCTGCACCAGACGACGCTCCAGAAACTCGATGCACTGCTCACAAAGGGTCGGGTGGATCAACCTTTCCACCGTCTGAACAGAGGCAGAGAACTTATCGTACATGATCTAAAACTAAAACTAGCATGCAACTAATTATAAAACAGCACTTGCACTAGGGCTGTGTATCACCAGCAAAGTCACGATACGATACATATCACGATACAGAGGCCACGATACGATACATATCACGATACGGGATTGCACTGAATTTCACCTCAGAAGAATTTAGTAAAACAGCTGTTTATTAAACACTGCATACTATAGTGCCATTTCTAACTATTGGCAGAGCAGGCAGCTGACCTCTGCATTATGACGGACCTCCATAACTGTACCACAGTACAATCTAGGCAATGGCATATGTTTCATGTTTACATTGGGCACTCCCCACCAGGTACAATATTCAGATTTTTTGCATCTTGTTTTTAAGCCCATAAATAATAATGTTCGTTCTAATAAATTTATATTGCAATGTACTCATTCTAATATATTTAAAAAAAATCATATTTACATTGCTGGTAGGTTCTCATTGCACAAATTAACACACTCTCTACGTTTAAAAAATAAAAATGACAAGAGTTCTAAGAGCGCTGTCTTCTGTATCTAACGCGCACACACACGCTCAGTCACTCACACAGATCATGTTGCGGCCGCACTCAGACATTCAGGAACAAACTTTTTAGCACTGCCCCACAATTTTATCAACTAAATAGCTTAATCGCTCGAGAGCTACATTATCTTTCTCAACAAGGAGCTGGTAACATCGTTGTTTCTAAAGTTTATCCACAGTGAAGAGACCGAGTGTACACATGGTTGCCAGGTTGACAAAGATTAAATTGCACACTTAGCAGATATTAGCAGTTGTGTTCCTCTGCAGCCAGATTAAACCTTGTTATAGCCTATATATTATGCTCTATTCATTATTTTTTAGAAACCTCGCAATTTTGTACTCAATTTTAAACGTTGTTCTTGTATTCAAATTAAGCGCGGTCCACTGCTGCACACGTGCCACAATATCGATACAGGGCCAGTTGTATCGATATTCGTCGTATCGTCAAATCTCTGTGACGATACATCGTCGTATCGATGTATCGAACACAGAACTAACTTGCACACACCTCTACTAAAAAGCTTTGGTCACTCTCTCGTAAGCGGCTGTATGTTTCTAAGAGGCTTCGTAGCTTCTTCCACAAGCGGTTCCTTTGCTCTGTATCTTGAGGGTGCAATCTGACAAATAAAAAGTCCATTAATTTAGTTTTTTTGTTATTTGTTTGCTTAGGTTTCAGTTCAAAGGCTATTACAACAGTCTTTGGTGTAACAAAAAATAATAATAATAATAATAATATGAAGTGAAATGCAATGAAACTAGTTCTACTAATATACTAAAATCTTCAGAATGGCTTAAAGTTCCCCTATTATGCCATTTCCAATATTGCCTTTCATGCAGTGTGTAATGTAGCTGTATGTGAATGTAAACGATCTGCAAAGTTGTAAAGCTGAAAGTGAAGTTATTGTCTCCCAAAATAAAGAATCGACTCTGAACAGCTGAAATTAGTCGTTAGTAATTCGCATCCCACTTCCGTGACGGCTACACGTCACAGGGAAACACATTTGCATAATGGCGCCTATGTTCTACATTGGCCGGCCGCGGACAACTTGACCCCGCCCACAAACACGTCATTCTACTGACGACTGCTTCTCTAATCTTGGGGGGGGGGTTCAAAGCGGGATTCACAAAATGCTTGCTGTTGAAAGATGGATTAGTATCCTGTTTATTTGGACCAGCTACTCCACTGAATCACAACCTGTAAGTATGATAAACAATAGATGTTTATATTTTCTATAGAGCGTTCAAAATACAGAACTATTGAAATAGGCTTATCGTTTCCGACACGCGCTGTACGCCGTAGACCAATCACAACAGACTAGGCCATCTGACCAATCAGAGCAGAGCAGGCTCACGGAAAGGAGGGGTTTAGAGAGACTGAATCTTTGAACTGCTTCGAACGAATCGTTTGCGAATCTCTGGAAAATGAGGTGATATTAAATGCATATTTTGAGAAAACGAAAGTGTTTTTTGACCTTGCATGCGTGTAATCCTATTGTACGAGACTCCCAAAACAATATTAGGAACTGTAAAAATGGCATAATAGGGGCGCTTTAAAATCTGGATTTGAACTGAAAATGCAGTTCTCACTCTTTCCTCAAGAGGGCACCTCCAAACGTCACCATGCCAAACATGATTTCTGTGAGTTTCTTCATCACATAGATCTTTCTCTTCAAATCCTCTTCGTCTCATCTCCGTCTCCATTCACAGCAATGTACATTCCTCAAACTGCATGACATCAACATGCTGGTGTCAGATTGATTTGAATAATTTGAAAATTTGGGGAATGTTATAGTATAAGAGTTTGAAAAATACATATCATTTCTTAAAAAAGGGGCAATCTATAGAATATAAATCCTTTATATTGTTAAATTTCATTAAATGGTTTATATATATTATAACTTGTAAATACTGTTTTTATAAAGTGTAAAAACAGTCTGTATACACACAATATAAACATTTTTTTATATAACATTACTTATATAGTATAATAGTGTGTAAGTATTTTACAAGTGATTTATTGAATGAGTGCTGTCTGTCCATAACAGGATGCATGCATGTTATTAGATCAGATGACTCTTTCATTCTGCTGTGGATTACCTGTTGCAGAACATAAATATGATTGTTTGCTGTGCTGAAGGAGGTGTAATTGTCCCCGAGTCGGTCCACCATGGTGCTACAGGAGATGATGATGGGTGCGAAGAGAGTGTTAATGCTGTCTTCAAACGCAGGCAGCTGAGAACACATGAAAAATGATATTAATAACCATTTAATATTCCACACTTACATGCATGTATGCATATATTAATTTTTTATATATATATATATATATATATATATATATATATTACGATGAAATATATATATATATATATATAATGTCAAACAGCATTCATTTTGAGCATCGATCTCACTCCTTCTCCTTCCTCCTGGGAAACTCCATACTGCTCCTGAATCCACTGCTCGAACTCGGTGTCAGTCCAGTAGAACAGAACCTCTGCGCTCTCATTGGCCACCAGAAGACACTTCATTTTACCTGAACACAAATGCAATTATTAAAAGAAGAGTTCATCCTAGTTATACTGTTTCTTTCACTTTGCATAATTCTAACAGGACTTCATTTAAACATCAGTCTCATAAACTTCTCAACGCACCTAGTCAAAAAAAAAAAAAAAAAATACAGTATACTCTTTACCAGTCCTAAAAATAGCCTAATAATTTGTAATGGCATCCTATACAGAACATAAATATGATTGTTTGCTGTGCTGAAGGAGGTGTAATTGTCCCCGAGTCGGTCCACCATGGTGCTACAGGAGATGATGATGGGTGCGAAGAGAGTGTTAATGCTGTCTTCAAACGCAGGCAGCTGAGAACACATGAAAAATGATATTAATAACCATTTAATATTCCACACTTACATGCATGTATGCATATATTAATTTTTTATATATA